CCGGGTGTTTTTGCCGCCACTGCCTGTCCTGCTTAGCAGCCAAATCATCCTGGGGCCCACAGTCCGGCCCCTCAAGGGTCTGAGGGACAGTGAACTAGCCCTTGTTTAAAAAGTTCGAGGACCCCTGTCTTAGAGAGACAGGAATTATAGGTAAAATCATAAACCAATATGTAGCAGGTGTACATTATTAGGCCTCAAAAGATGTGACATCTTGAAGAGGGAGCTCATAGGTTATAGGTGTGTCAAAGATTCTTTGATTTATAATTAAGTAAAAAAATAAAGCTTTGTCTAAAGCAGGGGTCCTCAAACTTTTTAAGCGGGAGCCAGTTCACTGTCCCTCAGACTGTTAGAGGGCCGGACTGCGGGCCCCGCGAAGAGTCGGCTGCTAAGCAGGACAGGCAGAGGCGGCAAAAACACCCAGTGGGCTGGATAAATGTCCTAGGCGGGCTGCATGTGGCCTGTGGGCTGTAGTTTGAGGACGTCTGGTCTAAAGGCTTAGAATGTTTTAAGACAGTCTGTTAATCAGAGACAAGCCCCAATATACTCAAGAGATCTGCTAAGCAAATTGATGGCTGGCAGGTGATTTAAACTCTGCCCTATATGGCCCTAGGTCTTGTTAATAATTATCTCAATGTCACCAAGAGTCTCCTTTGTCAGTCTTATGATCTCCACTTTAACATTAATGCTGGTTAATTGTATCTAAACTCCAAAAGGGGAGGGGTATAAAGAGGCATGTCTGACCTTCTTCCCTTCATGAACCCCATTCCCTTAAAGGTTTTCTTGGGGCCCCCTTGGCCAAAAAGGGGTCTTAGGACTTTGTTTTAGTTCATACCTAAAAGCTCCATTTGTAATTGGCATCCAAAGTGGGGGCAGTCTTGTGAGATTTTACGTTTACCCTGTGGGTTCTGCCTTAACTCACAATTTAGTGTAGGAACAGAATTAAGTTTTACAAGTAGGACACCCAGTTGGTGCCCAAAGGTTGGAGAATTGGTTTTGAAATGACATATCTAGTGTCAGAAAAGACACCAAAAAATAAAGCTAAGTGAAATAAACCAGACACAAAAGGACAAATGTTGATCGATCCCACTGATAATAGGGTCCCAAGAGTAGGCAAATTCATTCATTCTGACAGAAAGTAGAAAAAAGGTTAGCAGGGGCTGAGCAGAGGGGGATTGGAGTTATTGCTCAATGGGCACAGAGTGTCTGGCATGATGAAAAAGTCCTGAAATGAGTAATAGTGATGGCTCCACAACACTGCATGTACTCAATGCAGTAAACTGTACAACTTAAAAAATGGCTAAAATGATAATTTAATGTTATGTATATATTTTGCAAGAAAAGTAATACAAGTGTATATGTATTTTAAAATAATGATCAGGTTCACAAATATACAAACTTACCCTACTTAGCACTGTAAAGGTCTTATTATTTCACTGGTTCATAAATGCTATAAGCTTCAGAGGGTCTCATATTCAAATCACTTAAAAGTACATCCATAACTCTTTGAATAAAAGATGAATCCCATGAGCCCCTATTATTACACGGGGTGGAGGGAGAAATGTGAAAGCTCTTTCCTACAGAATGCCAACTAATAAATGTAGAATACGTGTTAGAAAATCACATTCTTGAAGTCCTCAGAGTAATAATTTATTCATGCAAGAATCAATTTAAAGGATGCTAAAACCAGGGACTGGAAGTTTAATAAAGAACAGATATGCACAGTCACGCACTTCTTAATGACATTTCAGTTAAACTACAGACCACATATGCCATGGGGATCCCATAAGATTATACTGCTGTATCTTTTTTTTTTTTTTTTTTTGAGACAGAGCCTCAAGCTGTCCCCCTGGGTAGAGTGCCGTGGCATTACAGCTCACACCAACCTCCAACTCCTGGGCTCAAGCGAGTCTCCTGCCTCCTCCTCCCAAGTAGCTGGGAACACAGGCACCCGCCACAGCGCCCGGCTATTTTTTGGTTGCAGCCGTCATTGTTGTTTGGCGGGTCCGGGCTGGGGATTCGAACCCCCCACCTTAGGTGTACGTGGCTGGCGCCTTAGCCGGTTGAGCTATAGGCGCCGAGCCAATACTGCTGTATCTTTACTGTACCTTTTCCATGTTTAGATAAGGTTAGATACACAAATACTTAGCACAGTGTTACAACTGCCACAGTATTCTGTACAGTAACAGCCTGCACAGGTTTGCAGCCTGGAGCAATAGGCTGTCCATACAGCCCAGTGTGTGGCCTATACCCCCGAGGCTTCTACAAGGACACTCTATGTTCCCACAGTGATAAAACTGCCTAATGATGTCTCTCTCAAAACATATCCCTGATGTTAAGCAACACACGACTGTACATAATCTCAAAGTATCTGTCCATAAACATACTCATTACAGAGGGAAAAATATTCACTCTACAAGGAAGAAAATGGTAGATGCCGTCTTAATCAAACCATCTAAGTTCCCACCACTATTGACATAAACCACCGTTATGTGACTCCTGATGTCATGTGCTGGAGAGAGCCACAGCATCACTTACATCTGATTTCTGGGATAATGACAACCTGAATCAAGTCATGATGAAATTATCAGGCAAAAATGAATTAAGGGATTATCTACAAAATAAATGGTCCCTCTTCTCCAAAAAGGTCACTATCATTAAAGACACAGAACGGCTGAGGAATCATTCCAGATTAAAGGTGGCTAAAGAAAACAGGAACACTGACTACAATGTGTGATTCTTCCACAGAGGGATCAAGAAGAAAAACTGATACAAATGATGTCATTGAGACAACTGATGAAATCTAAATATGGTCTGCAGATACACTATTACAAGTATATTGATAATAAATGTCCTGATTTTTGATCATTGTTCTGTGGTTCTGTAAATGGATGATCTCCACAGTCAAGATAACAATAAGGGACATGGTATTTGTCATTTATTATTAGATGATTCAGGAGAAAAAATATAGATAGGAGTAGTGGGCGGAGAAAGAGAGAAGGCGAGGGGTGTATGACGAGAATGAAACAAATGTGATAACATGTTACACTGGTGAAGCTGGGTAAAAAGGACACGGCGGGAATCTGTACTATTAACTGCAACTTTTCTGTAAGTCTAAACTTGTTTCAAAATGAATGTTTTTAAAAAATGGGTATGAAGAATTCCCCCAAACCTGTGCCACGTACATGCTTCCAGAGAGGGTCCCTTCATGCTTGCATCAGTTCTGACTGTAAACCCTCCCTTCACAGGACCTGATATGCCCCCTTTCCATTATTACTTATATTTCTATGTTTAGTTATATTCCCTTTTGTAACTGAGATTTAAATTCAAATAGCAAAGATAAAGATCTTATCAGATGAGATATGAAGCATCCTTGTTAGTCTGAGTATCAGGGAACAAAAAAGGTTTTAAATAAAACAGTAAGACTTAAATACCATAAAATGATAACTTCTGCTGTGTTAGCAGTACATGATTTTCTTTCTTCAGTTTTAAAACCCAGTGTTTGCCCCTGAACAATTTTTTTCATTCATTTTATGATTATTTTATTCACTCATTCTGGAAATATTTATCAATTTTGAATGAAACACTGCTCACTGAGGGAGGAAAAAAAAACCTGCAAATAATCATTAATTGACGTTTTGTCATTGACAGTGAAATTAAAATGTACTTCTTAAATTACAAAGTAAGGTTTACTCGTTGTGGCTGAAATAAAAGAGTACTATTATGGGCAAGAAATGTGTAAGGAATAAAATAATAAAATTTAGTTTCTAATGATAAAAAAGTCACATGTGCAATTTCACAAGGAAGTGAATGGCAATGCAGCTTTATTTCTATGTTGTTTTATTTTATGTACATTACACACATATCACAAATACACATTATAATACAAAAGCTATACAAAACCCCAGGAATTTAATATCTAAGAAAGGGAGATACTGCATTTGATTTCTGATACTTTCCTGTTTGAATACTCCTTAAATTCAGTTTTCAAGACAACAAATTAAAAGCCATTAATTTTTCAGAGGGCTTTGTGTTCTCATAAATTCTTCATTCAAGTATATTTTTATTGAAAAAAAACCATTTCACTGGTTGCAAAGTCAAACTGAATAAGCCATGATACTGAGTAAAAACAGACAGTGCTGCTGTCCTCTGCCTACAGTCAGCGCCTGACACTTAAATCACAAAGCAGGACAGTGATTTTGTTTGTTTGTTTTGCAGTTTTTGGCCGGGGCTGGGTTTGAACCCGCCATTTCCGGCACATGGAGCCAGCGCCCGACTCCCTTGAGCCACACGCGCCGCCCTGGGAGGACAGTGACTTTAACCTAGCACTATAAAATACCACCTCATAGGGCTGACAATGCACAGCACACCCTATATTGTTTGTTTTCAGGCTCTTGTTAGAAATATAATAAAAGCTAAAAATAATAATTACAAATTTTACTTCTCTTAATTTTTAAAAAATTGAATTTGAAAAACAGTACATCTTTTTCATTATGCGTGGCAGCTGGACATCATACCTGAAGGAATAATTTAAACATGTGAAGGATAAAATATATACATAACTCCTAAATAATTCTAGTATGGTTTAATTAATTCCTTTGTAATTTCTGTTCAACAGTTATCAATCACAGCAAATATAAAGAACTTAAAATAATATTCCTTAGCACAGTACTATCATGTTTTTTAAAAGTGAATTATTGAGGCACAAAAACATTACGTGATTTGCTCAAGATCATGACAGGAATGAGAGGCAGATAAAGCAGATTTTTCTAACTTAAGTAACTATACTAAACCCTGGCTTATGCCATCTTCAAAAATTAGCTCGGCAATAGATACAGAAATTAGATGCATTATTCAGGAATGTTTGTTTAACCTAAACTGCTGTTATTAATACATGTAACTACCGCTTATCATACATTATTAGGAATTTACAAACAAAATAAAATATGATCATTTTCCAAATTTGACACAATTGATTGCAAAAGCAAAATTGACAATACAACTTTAAATAAATGAGTTTTGTAAAAGATGCTTATTAACATGATTTTAAAAAAATACTAAATATAGGACCTACAAAATTTAGAAGACAGTATCTTAGAGGCAAACATATTAATATAAATATATTAAATCATCTTCTAATTGACCTTTTGCTTTTTATGAAAGCGCTCTAACAAAGCACTCATAATGTTTCCTGGTATTCTTTGGTGTTCATCAATCAAAGCTTGAACAGCGGTCTTTGTCTATTAAGAAAACAAAAGAAAAACCATTACCCTTTTAGATCTCAATAAAGATAATTCATTTAGTAAAGATTTTATATATTACTACTACTTTCAAAAAGTCTTCTCTAATTTAGCCTCCATCTCCTCTAAGAATTAATGATTGATTTCCTCCTCAGCACACCCATAGCATATTTCTTGCACTTCTTTCATTAAGCCTTGAATTATAGTTGTTGTCTGCATAGCTATTTTCTACACAAGCCTGTAAGCTCCTTAAGGCGCATCTTAGGGCCTGGCACAGTGGCTCACACCTGTAGTCCTAGCACTTTGAGAAACTGTGTATCAAAACGATGTCACAATTTAGTTTGTACTTTCTTGGGGGCGGAGGGATCCCTTGAATCCAGGAGTTCAAGACCACCCTGGTCAACATAGCAAGACCACAACTCTAGCAAAAATAAGAAAAATGAGCAAGGCATGGTGGCACATGCCTGCAGTTCCAGCTTCTTAGAGTTGAAGCAGGAGGACTGCTTGAGCCCAAGAGTTTGAGGCTGCAGTGAACCATGACTGCACGACTGCACTCCAGTCTGGGCAACAGAATGAGACCCTATCTGTAAAAAAAGAAAAAAAAAAGTTTAAAGAAAATATTTTTCCAGCATTAAGCATAATAATGCCTTGACAAACACTAAAATGAAATGAAGGGGAAAAAATTAGAAGAAAAACGTGGTAGGAAATGTCCTAACAGGCAAATAGAAAATGTAGTCCTTTACAGCATTAATAAACCCCAGTAAGTTTTCTTTTCATCACATACCCACCAAACAATTCAGTTATATGAGGCAGCAAATGTGTAATAGGAAAGAATGAGGAAAGGAACAAACTGATATACTTTTGTTCGTCATCTCAATTTCTAGGCACTGTCACAGGAATTTTAATTATGTCACAGCAAGGCAACAGTCAAGATACCAAGAAATCTTCTAAAACTCTTTATTTCTACTACATTTATAGCCAATTTCAACAACTTTTATTTTTAAATCAGTTTATAGCTATTTAAAATTTTTATTTATGTATGTATATAGTGCATGCATACATATACATTCTTCTTTTTCAGACTCTAAGCTTTAAATAAAGGTCTAGCTCAAAGATATATTTTAAAAATACATCCCTCTAAACCACAGATTTCACGTTTATGAAACTAGAACTACTTTGCAAAAATTAAATCAAATTGAAACAGCATCTTCAGGTACTTAGCACAGTAACTGACAAATAGGTTGTGTTCCATGAAGGATGTTTCTGATATTTTTTGTTCATTTATTCAAACAATATTAGATGCTTTGGAGGCTAGAATGTTAGTAAAAGAATGAGCTCTAATCTCAAGCTCATAATTTAAGAAAGTACAAACTAAATTGTGACATCGTTTTGATGCACATCATCTGAAATGTGAAGAGAGAATATTCACAAGTTCAGACTTGAGAGGCCACTGTTTGGGCAGTAACGAGGGGAGGACATGTGAAGAGGGCACTGCTGGATGTGGGTCTCCAAGGACCTGTAAGATTTCAACACTGATGAAGGAAGCCACGTGCTGGCAGGGGAAGCGAGAGCAACTGCGGCATAAGGAATGGCAAGGTTCAGTCTGGTCAAGTCTCAGGCACCTACTCAAAAGCTAGGCAGTATGAAGCTTTAGAATTAGGTTTCAATTCAAGCATGAAAGGAGTTAAATAACAAGTGAAAAAGTGCAAACTTTGTTTTGCATGAGTTGCAGTGTCAAAGACAAACTTTAGAATAAAGAAACATTAGGCTACGCATTTAGAAAATGCAACTCCTGTAAAGATCACCAAAGCTCCCCTCCTCTCACTGGGTCCAATGGACATGACTTTAAACTTCATTTGTGCTGACCTCTCAATCACTCCTTTATTGTACTCCTGTTTGCTTCTAGAACCAACCTCACACTCTCTTAGCTTTCCAGTAGCTCTCAGATTGTTACCTTTCAATTTCTTTTTGAAGACTCCTTCTCCAAATTCCAGGCATTGACTAATTCTCCAAAGGTTCCGTAATCTCATTTGTTTCCACAGCTTCAATCCATCCATTTGCTGATGACTCCCCAGATTTCCAGCTCAGCCTTCCCACCTTCAGGTCAGTATGTTCACTACCACTTCCCACCCATGTGCTTGTCAGGAAGCGAACTCAATATGCTTAATTTAAACTGACACTCTTTCCCCTCATACTTATTCCTTCTCCCCACCAGACCACTCTCCTCCTGAGTCTCCACCCTGTTTCAGCAAGTGATGCCAGCCAAGTAAGCCAAAAGCTCCTGCCTCTCACCCACAAAGCCAACCATTACCGTGCCCTGGACACCACTTAGATCTATCCACTTCTTTCTATCTTCTCTCCACTCTAAAAACATGTGTGCATATAAATAAATATGTATTTATATGTGGAAGTGGGTGTGTCCATATGAATGAGAGAGAGAGGCAAAGAGACAGATATGAACATGGAAAACAGGGAAACAGAACAGGGAGATTAAGGCTGAGGGAGCTTTAAGGAAATAGCCCAATGAACTCTTCAGCATTGTTACAATACATTTTAATTTACATTCAAACAATGTTTAAAAAATGGCTCTGATCTACAATCAAAAGCCATTTTTAAAATAAGGTTTCATTTCTGCCTACTAATATTAATTTGAATGCTTGATTAATTTCAAGCTACTGATAATCTTGGATCATTATGCTATAGTTTATGCTGATGTTATTAATAATGGAGAAGACTGGAAAATTACAACAAACCAGTGACAAAAGGAGAATCTCAAGTATTCTCTATTTCCAGTATAGTTTAGTTTAATAATGTCAATTTACAGAAGAACGCATCATGTATCCCGCTCTGACTAGTGGGCAGAGTAAAGATTAGAACCCAGATTACTGAATTCCAGGCCAGAATTTTTTTTCTCTCCTTTAACTTTTATTTTGACCATAAAAAGAGGCAGTATTTGTTAAAGAAGAAAAGTGTTCTAACTAGCAGTGACCCACTTAACTCCTAATGGGCAGGCAGGAAGACATAAAATTCAATTATATCTTAAGAAAGAATGCATTTATTAGGGAGCAACAAAGAAAGAAATTCATGTGTGGGCAGAGCAGCACCAGAGGGAGGTCCCAGCCATGGCACGGGGCTCCTGGGGCTCTTGGTGATACTGGACAAAGTGGCCCCCAGCCAACTCAGCTGAGCAGGGCTGGGGGATCTGCCGCCTCTGTCTGGGCTGCAGCAGCTGGCAAAGAAACCAGCAGGCTGGAGCAGGCTGGAGCGTGCTGGAGCAAGCAGAGGGAGCTTTCCTCTCCCACCATAGCTTCAGTAGCAAAAAAGACCCACCAAAACAGGGGAAAACACTGGCAATTCCTCCAGTGCATCCCTGATTGGTCCATTTTCAATCCTGCTCCTGATTGGTCTATTTTTGGTGAAAATAGACCAATCAGCTCAGCTTTCAGCTCATTGGACAACTGCCAAGATATATAAACTCCTGAGTAGAGAGCCTAGAGGCAGATTATCACTGACCTTGGAGGGTGAGAGAGCAGGAGAGCAAAGACCTCAGCAGATTGCCCCAGACCATAGAGGAGAGAGCGCAGAAGAAGAGCTGTAACACTTATATCCTGCCCTGCAAGGAGGTTTGGCTCTTTGTAAGAGCTGTGACACTTGTATAAAACCTATCTTATCCTGCTCTGCAAGGTTTGGCTCTTTGTAAGAGTTGTAATACCTCTGTAAATAAAACCTAACTTCCAGCCTGTGGTCCGTGGATTCATTCATCGAATCATCAAGACCAAGAGCATGGAAATCTAATATCAAAAGTCCAGTATCACTGGGAAGGGGTCCCTTCCTAAGGAAAGAAGAGCTGTGCTGGGTAATGAGCATGTCCTGGCCCCAAACCCAGTGTCTCAGGGTTTTACTCTGAGGACGTGGTTAGAACTAAACTGTTGCTATACTTAATGGACCAGTAGAATAACTGGAGGACACAAAGCGCATATGGACTGTTGGTGTGACCTCTGTGAAACTGGCTGCACACCTCCCCATTGCTCCAGTCTCATCCCACCTAACACTAGCTGCTCCAGTTGTAATCCTTGTCTAAGGGTCTGAACTTGGTAAATCCTAGTATGGCAGGGTACTTTTCAGACACTCACTCCTTTTCCCCACCAGGCTCCTCTCTTTCAAGCCATCCTGAGCCACTTCCAAACAGAAGCTTATGGGCAATTGTGTGGTTCTGTTCCTGACTGTTCCTTCTATTGTGTTAATAGAAGCGTCCCACACAGGGCTCTCCTTCCAGCCTGAATGACAAAGTGAGGAAGGCAGGGACAAAGTTGCAGCTGAGCCTCAGAGGACACTTGCACACAAACGAACTTCAGACTGCCATAAGCCTCTGACGTTCTGTGGCTGTTACCGCAAAACAACCTAGCAAAGCGAACTGAATCATTCCTGGGCTTAAGTGATTCTCCTGCCTCAGCCTTCCAAGTAGACGAGACTACAGGGTCCCACCACAATGTCCAGCTATTTTTCAGAGACGGGGTCTCGCTCTTGCTCAAGTTGATCTCAAACTCCTGAGCTCAAGCAATCCACCGGCCTCAGCCTCCCACGTGCTGGGATTACAGGTGTGAGCCACCATGTCCAGCCCACTCCTTTTTCTTAAGCACAAAACAGTGATGATAAGGTCTACTTTACACAGTTGATATGAAGATTAAATCAGACTGCGTATAAAAAGGAGGAAATAAAATCATCTTTGTTTGCAGATGACATGATTGTGTATGTAGAAAACTCTAAAAACCTAAAGATTCCAAAAATAATAGAACTAATAAATTCAACAAAATTGAAGACATGATACCAACACACATGAATTTCAGTTGTGTTTCTGTATGCTAACAACGAGCAAGACAACAGGAAAGGAAAATAAGGAAACAATCCCAATGAACAATTAAGAATGGAAAATAAAACCCATACCATCAAAAATAATAAAATAGGGTGGTGCCTGTAGCTCAAAAGGGTAGGGCACCAGCCCCGTATGCCGGAGGTGGCACGTTCAAACCCAGCTCCGGCAAAAAAAAATAATAATAATAATAATAAAATAGAGGCTGGGCACAGTGGTTCACACCTGTAATCCTAGCACTCTAGGAAGCTGAGGTGGGTGGATTGCTTGAGCTCAGGAGTTAGAGACCAGCCTAAGCAAAAGCAAGGCCCCATCTCTTCTAAAAATAAAACTGAGGCAAGAGGATCACTTGAACCTGACTTAGAGGTTGCTGTGAGCTATGACGCTACAGCACTCTACCCAGGGTGACAACTTGAGACTCTTGTCTCAAAATAAATAAATAAAATAAAATACTTAGGACTAAATTTAACCAAAAAGGCTAGGTGTGGTGGCTCACGCCTATAATCCTAGCAGCCTGGGAGGCGGAGGAGGGTAGATTGCTTGAGTTCAGGAGTTCCAGACCAGCCTCAGCAAGAGTGAGCCCCATCTGGACTAAAAATAGAAAAATTAGCTGGGCATGGTTACACACACCTATACCCCCAATTACTCAGGAGGCTGAGGCAGGAAAATCACTTGAGTCCAGGAGTTTCAGGTTGCAATGCGTTAAGATGATGCACTGCACTCTACCTGGGCAGGTGACAGAGTGAGACTCTGTCATAAAATAAAATAAAATAAAATAAAAGTAATAAAATTATATAAAATTTGAATATAAATATTTATATTTATTTATATTAAAAAATATAATAAAATAAAATAAAAATTGTGCTAATGACTGAATATTTCTCCAAAGAAGATATATAAGATGCCCAACATCACTATCCTTAGAGTAATAAAATCAAGCCCAATGAAACACCTTCTCACATCCATTAAAATGACCAATAATAAAAAAGATGGCACAGAATAGCAAGCACTGATGGGGATATGGAGAAACTGGAACTCCTGTGCACTGTTGCTGGGAATGTAAAATGGTACCAACAATGTGGAAAACAGTTCAGAGGCTCTGAAAATTTTTAAATAGAATTTCTATGTTATCTAGCAATCTCATTGCTGAATATATAGCCTAAAGAATTTAAAGCAAGATCTTCAATAAACCAAACAAAAGTATACACTAGGGAAAAGAATCCCTACTTAATAAATGGTGCTGAGAGAATTGGTTAGCAACATGTAAAAACTGAAACTGGACCCACACCTCTTGCCACTTATAAAAATTGACTCATGATGGATAAAAGATTTAAATCTAAGACATGAAAAAATAAAAACTCTAGAAGAAACTAGAAAGAAATAAAAACTCTATGGAAAAAACTCCTGATGATATCAGCCTGGGGAAAGATTTCATGAAAAAGACTCTGTGTTGGTAATCAAACAACAACAAAAATAAATAAATGGGACCTAATCCAGTTAAAAAGCTTCTGGACAGCTAAGAACAAATAATTAGAGCAAACAGGCAGCCTTCAAAATGGGAAAAGATATTTACATGTTACTAACTTGATGAAGGGCTGAGACTCAGAATCTATAGAGAACTCAAACTAATCAATAAGAAAAGAGCAAACAGGCTCGGCGCCTATAGCTCAACCGGCTAAGGCGCCAGCCACGTACACCTAAGGTGGCGGGTTCGAATCCCCAGCCCGGACCCGCCAAACAACAATGACGGCTGCAACCAATAAAATAGCTGGGCGTTGTGGCGGGCGCCTGTGGTCCCAGCTACTTGGGAGGCGGAGGCAAGAGACTCGCTTGAGCCCAGGAGTTGGAGGTTGGTGTGAGCTGTAATGCCACGGCACTCTACCCAGGGGGACAGCTTGAGACTCTGACTCAAAAAAAAAAAAAAAAAGAAAAGAAAAGAAAAGAGCAAACAATCCTATCTATCACTGGGCAGGAAACATGAATAGAACCTTGTCCTAAGATGACAGATGAATGGCCAACAAACATGAAAAACTGCTCATTGTCGCTAATCATCAGAGAAACACAAATAAAACCACCCTGAGATATCACCTAACACAAAGGGGAAGAGCCCATCACAAAGTCCCCAAACTGCAGATGCTGCCATGGGTGCGGAGAGGAGGGAACACTTTTACACTGTTGGTGGGACTGCAAAGTAATATAATCTTTTTGGAAAGAAGTATGGAGAATCTCAATCTCATCACTAGGCATCTACCCAGAGGAAGAAAAATTGTTTTACCATAAGGACATTTGCACTAGAATGTTCATTGCAGCTCAATTCACAATAACCGAGATGTGCAAACAACCCAAGTGCCCACCAACCCACATAAACTGTGATATACATATACCATGGGATACCATTGAGCCAGAAAAAAAGATGGAGACCTTACATCATTTGTGTTTGCCTAGATGGATCTGAAGAACATTCTTCTTAGTAAACTATCACAAGAATGGAAAAGCAAGTAACCAAAGTACTCAATACTAATATCAAACCAGGGGATCAGTGGTTCTCAATCTTCCTAATGCTGCGGTCCTTTACTACAGTTCCTGTGGGTAGTGACCACAGGTTGAGAACCGCTGCAGTAGATGAACAACTCCCATGCTCATGAAAGAAACACATACAATTAAATTCAAGTGGGGAGAAGGAGGGAGTGGGCGAAGCAGAGGAGAGAGGGGCTCTGGTCAACTCTCACCTGATAGGCACAAGGTAAGGGGATAGAGCTCACTTAAATGAGTGAATGAAGGACACGTGGAATATTATTCAGCCTTAGAAAAGGAAATCCTGTCACGACTCAACAGAGATGAACTTGAACCAAAATAAGCCAATCTCAAAAAGGCAAATATTGTATGATTCCCCTCATGTGAAGTATCTAAAGTAGCCCAACTTTTAGGAAAGTAGACTGGTGTGATTGCCAGGGACTAGGAGAGTGGAGAAGGGGAAGTTGCTCTTCAATGGGTATAAAGAGTCAGTTTAGCAAGACGAAAAAACTCTAAACAGCCATTGTTCATCACTGTAAATGGACTCAATGATACTGAACTATATGCTTAAAAATGGTGAAGATACATGTGATTTTTAACCATGACTTACATTTTTTTTTTTTTTCTTGCTGGGGCTGGGTTTGAACCCACCACCTCCGGCATATGGGGCCAGTGCCCTACCCTTTTGAGCCACAGGTGCCTGATTTAAAATTTTTCAAATGAATTGATATACATACATAAAAGGCTGGTAAAAAGTCATGATCAAAATACATTCATCTTATTTTCTAAGTGATTCCATAACATGACATTTCTTATAGTTTTATGCTCTCTAAAAGTATAATTGCAAGCTGAGTGGTCTGTTTGCATCCCCATCTTCCTAATCCTTTTTTAAAAACCTCATCCACCAACTTCTATCACACAAATTGGCTTGTTCTCTCACTGCTCTCCCAGCTCTGTTTGTTCCTCCCCCTTCCTCGGCCTCCTCCCTGCATGTCACTTCTGCAGCCACACCTCAGTCCTCTTTTCTCTCTAACCTGCCTGGTAAAGCTTAAGGCTTCAATAATTATCTCAGTATAAATGACATCAAAATCTTCATCAATTCTGACTTCTCTTCCAAACTGCAGTACAGTATTTCCAAAAACCTATGTAGAACCCCTGTAAGTTGACCACCCAGGGGACTGTAACAAACTGGTCAACACATGGAGGTGGTCAACATAAGCAACCAGGCCTCCTGTACTGACACACACACGGTGCATGCCCAGTCTGTGACAGTTAGGTCAAGTAAAGGAGATGGTCAACTACAAGAGTTCTCACTGCAAATTCTACCCCTGGCCTCTATCCACTAAAGGACTGCAGCATCACTACCTTCAACTCATGCCAGAGAGGCAGTAAGTCTCCAGAGTTTGGCAAATATCCCCTGGGGAGTAAAATCACCACAACTGGTTGAGAACCATGGACCTAGAATATGCTTGTAGAATATATATAAAAAAATGACATTTTAAATACAAGAATCAAAAATAAAAATCTGTCCTAAGACCAAAAAAAGAAAATTAATTTACCTTTTCAGCTAATTCTTCTGCTGTTATCTTTGGATCGTATGGAATGGGATCACCTAAATAGGTCCGTAACTTCACTGGAAAACCTCCATACATTGGAGCAAATGGATAGCGAAATTTTTCGTAAAGCCACCTAAACAACCCTGTTTCAAAGTAAACAAAATCATTTTAATAGATTAAATACTCTGACCCCATGTAGTTATAAACTTTCAAATTAATTACATAAGACTTATAGGAAGGTGGCAAAAAAATATCATTTCCTGGCAATTAAGACAATCTTTTTTTAAAACAGGAGGTTTTCATCAATTCTAACAAAGTCACCACATCAATGCAAGATATTAGAGGGGTAACTGGGGTGGTAAGGAGATACATGAGAACTCTTTGTACTTTTGCTCAATTTTTCTGTAAATGTAAAAATACCAAAAAACTGGCTTATGTTTTTAAAAAGATGAGCTTCTAAAAATATCAGAATTTTAGGCTGGGCGAGGTGGCTCACGCCTGCAATCCCAGCACTTGGAATGCCGAGGCAGGTAGACTGTCTGAGCTCACAGATTCAAGACCAACCTAAGCCAGAGTCAGACCTTGTCTCTAAAAATAGCCAAGCAGGCATTGTGGTGGGCACCTGTAGTCCCAGCCACTTGGGAGGCTGAGGCAAGAGAATCGCTTCAGCCCAGGAGTTAGAGATTGCTGTGATTATGACATTACGGCATTCTACCAAAGGTGACAAAGTGAGACTCTGTCTCAAAAAATAAATAAATAATAAAAATATCAGAATTTTAAAAGACAAACCAATTACTATTACTGGAAAACCAAGGTCAGAGACTGCCACCAGATAGTAGAAATTAAAAAGTCTAGAGACTTACAAATCAGTGACGTACATGAATAAAAGACCAAAACCAGAAAGAATAAAATAAATTCATGTAAACAGGAGACTATGATGCAAAAAGACTAAAAATATTATAGTAAATTAGGAAAATTTCACATATCAAAGCAAAGGATTATTAATGCTAATGACCAAATCTAAAATTTAGCAGGATTAAATTAAGAACTAGTAATGATATAAAATCAACTGGTAGACTAAGTTTAATAAAAATAAAAAACAACAAAGGAATCAAAAAAAGACAAAGCCACATGGAATGCACTGTCAGGGATTGTACTGAAAGTTGAAAACAATGCTTAACACGTGGAAATACACATAAGACCCAGAATCACACACACATAATCACTAGGTATTAACTTTTGAAATATTTAATTTCAAAGTCAAGAAAAGTCAAAAAAGTCACAATAAATTTTAAAAAATAAATTATAATAAACAAAATTTCTGGAATAATTTTGATTGTCAATAAATTCCAAATAAATGAGCTAAGAGAAAATTTAAAAGAAATAATTCCTTAGCAAAAGTAAAATACCACATCAATCTGCTTTAAATTTTGCAATGTGCTTTAAATTTGAAAAAGAAGAGAATAAAATAAGTCTTAAAAAACCTAATAGAATATCAACAAAACAGCAATGTTATCCAAACTGCTGTTATCCAACAGTTTAAAGCTCTTCAGAAGGGGACTTGTGTGTGGTCAGGAAGGAATTAAGCTAGGGATATTAAATTTAATCAAACAAATATAACATACAAATGATAGGTATAAAAATAAACTCTGAAAATTTCAAAATAAGAAATCAGAGACATTGCAAAGAAAAAGCACATTAATTGTTAATATTCCTATAACTGGATTAAAAATTTTTTAATCAATGAATTAAAAATAGGTAAAAAGAAGTTTTCAATATAAGTACATTACAGTTCAAAATATTTAAAAAAAAAAAAAAAAGAACAATAGCAGAAATAAACCAAAGCAAATGATACTTTCTCCAGTAGTTAATCTTAGCTCAGTATACTGTCAACCATTTTAAAACAGGAACTTCTAAGTTTAAAAGATAGTTTGAAGAGTTTGTAAATGTGTTCTAAACCTCATCAACATGGTGTAACACAGTAAATTAGATAATTTGCTCCAGAATTTTATTTTATTTATTTTAGAGACAGAGTCTCACTTTGTTGCCCTCAGTAGAGTGCTGTGGCATCCCAGTTCACAGTAACCTCCAGCTGTTAGGCTTAGGAGATTCTCTTGCCTCAGCCTCCTGAGTAGCTGGGACTATAGGCACCTGCCACAGGCCCAGCTATTTTTTTGTTGCAGTTTGGCAGAGACCAGGTTTGAACCTGCCACCCTTGGTATATGGGGCTGGCACACTACTCACTGAGCCACTGGCGCTGCCTGTTCCAAAATTTTAAAAAGCCTATTTTAAAAGTTTCCATATGCATGATACTTTTAACAAAAATATAATGTATGAGGCATAAGTCTCAGGCATAAGCCACCATACCCAGTTCATTTACATATTAAAAAGAAATAATATCTAAATAGTACATTCATTTTCCAAAGTTAATAACTCAAAAGGATTCCTCATAGGGTTTCATAAGCCCAAATATTTAAAATACTATACTGCAGTTAAAAATCATATGAATCAGAACTTACTTGTTCCTCCAAGTGATCTGAATCCTTCTCGAATATTTTGTGTAAACATAGGAATAATGGGCTAAAGAAAAAGAGAATCTTAATTAGAAAGTAAATAATTAATAATCCATTAATCAATTAATCAATGTCTCCATTGAGTAACTAGTACAAACTTTTTTTTTTTTAAAGAAAAGGGACACAAATTTATTAGCATGCACGGGGAAAATCAGTGTAGTTATCTCTTAAATGCAAACTTTTGAGGGCCTGTATGAGGTTATGAAAATAAGATATCTTAAAAATAAAGACATGCTTGGCTATTTAATTTATGAGGCTAAGTTCAATTTGGTCATTTGTAAAAATATAAATTAGAAACACTACCCTCCAGTGGTAATGTATAATATTTCATTTACCAATTTTTCTAACATTCCACATAAAACCTAGAAACCAAGAGTAAGGATTACAGTAATCATGAACTTCCTTACGTAGAATGAACGTGGTAAATCACATTGGCTTTAGTGGCTACTGGACAGCATGCTCACTGAAGAGACGCTGCCAGGTGGAGAGAGAGAGTCTCTCTAATGGGAAATACATGCACATAGGAATGACAGGTCTGGGCAAATGGCATGACATCAGTAAAGTTTTTTGTAAGCCTATTAAATGTAAAATGTTCAACATCAATGAAAAGTAAACATAAGACACACTACAAAACAAAAAGAAAAAATATTTTATTTTATATTGTTAGGGGTTTTTTGTTTACAAGTTCATGATTTCTATTTTTCCATGAATATAAATGATTAAATATAATTTTTAATAATGAAGACTTCAAATAAAATCAAAATTAATGAAGTATCAAAGTATCATGTAAGAAGGTTGGTTATGTTGTGTGAACAATTAAGTAGATAAAAAATTGAAAGAAACACTTTAAAATATACACAAAAAATACTGCATTAAATGATCTTTTATAATAGCTAAAAGTGGAGGGTATCATATTATTCACAGTCAACCATCAGTATACGCCTATTACTTGCTCAATGAGCAGGGTTTGAGATATTTAAGTAAGCTGATAGTTAAAGTCATTTCTATTCAGCTTTGGAAAACAAGAAAATATAGACTGACAGAAAAAGACTACAGGTATAGCTTTCTTCATAAAACTTAGTATCTGACATATAACTAACTGATCATTTATTCATTGTCTGTCTCTTCTCACCAGAAGGAAGGCACCTGATACAGAGACATTGTTTTGTTCTTTGCTGTATCCTTAGCGCCCAGAACAATGCCTGGAACAAACTAGATGCTACAAGAAAATGTGACGGATGAACAGAAGAATGAATAAACCAAGCAGAGAGAGGATGCTTCTAATAAATCATCTGTATCCTCTGAAAATAAAGTGGATAAACAGGCAGCAACAATCTTAAACCAGTTAGAAAAAAAGAGGGAAGTCAGGTAAAGAAAAGCAGTCGGGTGAAGAATTTAAACTTTGAGGGAGTTAATTCCAAAACTAATACGTTAAAAAGATAAAGTGCACTGAAGTCTCCAGCAGAAAAGTCAGATTATGATGTAGGAAATCACCACTAGTTCTATAAAATAAAATGATGGCTGAAATCTTAATGTTTTAAGTAGTTATAAAATGTCCTTAGAGTTGAGAACTTAAAATGTCCCAGGACAGAAACCTTTTGTCTCCTCTGACCAGCATTAGCGGATTTATGTCTGCTGACTGGCGTGACCCTGGAAGTCTGTACTGAAATGTGTACTTTATAGACTATTTGGGTTAAACATTATTCCTTACCCAGCAAATGTTCTGGAAGCTAGACATTTCTAGAGCTTACTAAACAGGAGAAAGCTTACCCTAGCAGCACCAGTGTTCTGGGGTACAGTCTTGGTTTATGGTTTCTATGTACTCAAGCTTGCCTCCTTACAAGCACAACCATTACTTTAATCCACCTTGATCTTGCACAATTATTCATTCCCTTCCCTATGCACACACAAGGCAGCTGCATCAGTAACCTAGAATTCAACTGTCTCTGTGTATAAATGTGTCTCTGTATGTACGTGTATGCACGCATATGTATAAGAGAAAGAGAGGCTGAATACTGTTAACAACTCTATTCTTATGGAATCAGTTTAACATGATCTTAGAGATTTAACTCTGCCACTAAAAATGCAGGAACCACTGTACAAGTTACTTACAATGTTTAGCAGGCCCAAGCCGGGTTCGAACCTACCAGCCTCGGTGTATGTGGGCAGCACCCTACTCACTGAACTACAGGTGCCACCGTTACTTACTATGTTTAAGCCTCACTGCCTTCATGTATAAAATAACTTTCCTTATCTCAAAGTCTTTTATGGATTAAGTGAGATTTTATGGATTAATTGTTCATATAAACAATTTTATTGAAACACAGTATTACTTTCTTTTACATCTATTATTTACTTTCCAATTGGAGTGAGTAGGCTAATTTTTCCCAACTTAGATATTAAGTTAGCTAAAAATTTCTTTCGAAGTCATAATTCTCAGAATTTACAAAATAAGAGTGATTTATATTATATCAAAAAGCCTGTCATTTTTGAATAAGCCTTTGGTACTTTCTACCACTATTTTGTGGATTTACATTGGCAATCTGGCTCCTCTGGTTTCTTCCCCTTTAATTTCTATCACTATGCCCAATTTAAATGTAGTTAATCCTCTAACAACAGTCAAATTTGTGCTCATAGTTTATGATAATTTTATGAGGCTTATTAAAGGACTTTCCAGATGGGACGGCTGTGTCATTTACATCTATATACATATATTACTGAAAGACTCCCTCACATATCTGGGAAGCGTCAGCAGACTCACTGTGAAATGCAGTCAGGGTCGGCAACAGCACCAGTTGCCTCCAGTCCTGAACTCTGCTCTGCTGCTGCCTTGCTGTGTGACCAGATCCCTTCCAGCCCTCCAGCTCTCTGTGCCTGAGTCTCCTCATCTGTAACATTGGAATAATTACATATGTCACCTCCTCACTCTGCAGGAGTACCAAGATAAAGCTTTAAAGGTGCTACAAGATATTGAGGTGAAACAATATTAATCAAATTTATATTGGTATTTTGTAAATTTGTAGCATTAAAGATTTCTGCTGGTTTTTAAACTTATAAAAGGCTATTTCTTAAATTTTAATTTTTATTAAAACAATTTTAAATTATCTAGATTATTTTAACTATCTAGAAAGTCAAGAATCAGAAAGAGTTCTTTTCTATATGTCTTTCTTCCAAGCAATTCAAAACTGTAAATTTACAGATGAGGAATTAGAATCCCATGACACATTCATGTGATTTCAAATCTATTTTTGTCATTTTTAATCCTAATTTTTTTTTTTTTTTTTTTTTTTTTTTGAGACAGAGTCTCACTTTGTTACCCTTGGTAGAGTGCTGTAGTGTCATACCTCACAGCAACCTCAAACTCCTGGACTTAAGCAATTCTCTTGCCTCAGCTTCCAGAGTAACTGGGACTACAGGCACCTGCCACAATGCCCGGCTATTTTAGAGATGAGGTCTCACTCTGGCTCAGGCTGGTCTTGAATCTGTGAGCTCAGGCAATCTACCTGCCTTGGCCTTCCAATAGCTGGAATTATAGGCGTGAACCACCATGCCTGGCCTCTTAATCCTAAATTTTTAAAGAAAAATTTCTTTGAAAATATGAACTTAAAAAGTAAACCATCTTTGGTTAGGTTTTTAGTTTTTATCATTGCTTTAACACATGTTACATAGATTATTGTTAATTTTTGCACAACTGCAAAAATTTTTGTATTCTATGTTATTCATATAGTCTTGGTTTTTATTTTCTATTTTTTTTTGGAAAATAAACAAAATGTATTATAAATTAATTTTGTATATCATTAACATTTTAACATAAAATCAAAATCAAAAGGCTCCTTTCCACTAGTGTTTAATATTCTGTGCTTAAAAAATAAATTCAATTAAACATATACTTAACTCCTTCTCAACGCTGGTCAAGTTTTAAAATATAAAAAGATAGCCTTGTCCTCAGAGACTTTATAATGTATCATAGGACAATACTATTTAAATGTTTATGTTAATGATGAACTAGGCAAGTACATTAACCTGTACTAAAATCATATTATTAAAGTACCATAGCAATAACTTCTAAGAGATACATTAAACTTATGTATTATAAACTTTGCAATTAAAAAGTAAAGGGAAAACATCTATTCTTCAAATACTGCTTTCAGGTTAGAATGAGTCATTCATAACCTTTTCCTCTCAATTAACAGTCTTGCAAGTGGGCAAAACGAGGGGTACAGACTGGTCTTTTTAAGCGACAATGGGAACATACTAGTTTGAAATGTGAAAATTACTGGTAGCAGTCTCTAATTTGTCTGGAAAAAGAACAACACTATAAACATACTATGATTATTTTTCTAACAAATGCAAATAAACAGAAAACAAAGGAGAAAAAAATCTATAAGTAATTGATAAGGGTTTCATAGGATAAAGTATGATATGGAGATCAAAAAGCTAAGAAATATTTTTCAAAAGCAAAAGAAAAGAATAAATGGTATTCACATTCTCCATTCTACAAAGTAGAATAATCACAATAAATCCCAGAGGAACACTTAATTTTACTGACAAATTTATAAAGTTTTTTTAAAAATATCTAAATTACATTAATATCTAATTTGTATCTTTATTCACATTATTATTAGATAGGTGCCTACATTTGTTGATGAAAAATGATAGTAGTCATATATTATGAGAGTCCTATTGTTAAAAAAATTGCTCACAGAATAACTATAATGAAACCAACAACCACCACTGAAATATGCCAACTCAATCACAGCAAAAAATTTAAAAACATAGACTTGAACTGATTATACTTATGATAAAAAGAATACCTCAAGGAATACAAAGTTATTCGTATAAAATTATAGATCTGATGAAAACTGATTCTTTTTTTTTAAGAGACAAAGTCTTGCTCTATCACCTAGGCTTGGAGTTTACAGAGCGCAATGGTGCAATCATAGCTCACTGTGACTGCAAAGTCTCAGACTCAATCTATCCTCATGCCACAGTCTTTTGAGTAGCTGGGACTATAAGCACATACCACCAGCCCCAACTAATTAAAAAAATGTTTTATTTTTTTTAGAGACAGGGTCTCACTATGTTGCCCAGGCTGGTCCCAAACAACTGGCTTCAAGCAAGCAATCTTCCCACCTTGGGCTCCCAAAGTGGTGAGATTTATAGGCATGAGCCACTACACCTGAGTAAAAGCTGGATTTTGAAATGTCTTTGCTAGATATCTGTCAGATTTCACCTGAGTAAAAGCTGGATTTTGAAATGTCTTTGCTAGATATCTGTCAGATTTCCAGGTTGATTTATTTTTTAAACAAAGTCTCAAGCTGTTGCCCTGCGTAGATGGCGTGGCTTCATAGTTCACATAGTTCACATAGTTGGGCTTGAGTGAGCCTCTTGCCTCAGTTTTTTCTATTTTTAGTGGAGACGGGTCTTGCTTTTGCTTAGGCTGGTCTTGAACTCGCAATCCACCCAATCGACCTCCCAGAGTGCCAGGATTACTAGTGTGAGCCACCGCCCCTGGCCAGGTTGATTTTTTAAAAGAAGAATTCCCATGCACAAGAAATATTTCTCTATTGGTACCTTGTAAATAATTATATATACTATCCTTAAAGTATTACAGTGAAAGTACCTAAGTTCTTATATACTCGGCTACTTATTTAAGCATTTATTTGAAGTTTAACTATGCTTCACTGTAAGAGTTAATTTTATACAACTCACCACTTTTGCATCAATTGCGACCTGAGCGAAGCCTTTACGATTACCCCATATGATGCTGTAGGTTTCATCACTAAGTAGGGCTTCCCGAACTCCACCTGGTGAAATAGCTAACAAGTGACCACTCCTCAGAATTTCAACACATTTTTCTCTTGGTCCATGAAGAGCACAAAACACATCAAGTAATAAACTAAACCCTGTAAAAGACATGAGTATGAAGATATACCTTAAGTACTACTTGTTGAATTTTTGAAAAATAAAAACCTTCAGAACCTATATAATTTACTATCTATACTTAAGTCAGTGAACTCTTTAATTTTTTTAAATCAACAACAACTCATAAGGTTAGCATAAAATTAATATTGCTAAATAAGTAATATTTAATAGCTACATTTTACTTGTCACCTACTATTGATCACCTCCTACTGATCACCTAGTACTCTGACCACTTTACATTAAAACTCATAATAATCTTAGAAAACAAGGATTCTTCTCCCCATTTTACAGAGGAAGAAAGTTAAGCTCACAGAGTCAATAGCTTGCTCAAGTTACACTCCTAGGAAGTGGCAGGGCAAATTTTCTGGTTCAGATGTCTAATCCAAAATTCTTTCCACTACATGTCATGGCCAAACACTGTCTAAAGTATTTATTAGAGCAATCAGAAATGATATCCCATCTGTAATCATAAATCTAGTCTTCCATTAACCTTACAAGAAAGAGAATCACTCAAGACAATGTGAATCTGACTATGATTACCCCTATAAAAACCGGCAAGGCCATAATGAAATCTATTGAAATTGAAACTTAGATGACCTTAATTCTATGATTAAATTTATAAAACTTAATAATAATAGCAAACATCACTAAGAGATTTTAATAAAACAAGAGTGTCTGATTCAAGAACACCTAATCCCAAATCTTAATATTATATACAGTTTTTCAATTTACACCTATTTGAGGATGAAAGAAATAATCCTTTCAGTAATTAAATATTTTAATCAAATTCTACACTGGAACTTCATAGGACCGATGTTAGTATATGTTATTCCTTGAGACTGGGAAACAAAGGGATGGACACTAGAAATGATACAGACCAACCAAACTTCTCATTGGTCGAAAGATCCAATGCAAGATTATAAATATAAGATTAAAATAATTCACGGACAGAGCAAGATGGGGGACCAGAAAGATTGTTCAGTTGAGCTCTCCTAGAAATGACTGGAAGGAAAAGAGAGAACCTAGCCATACTGATGCAAGGACTTTACCCAGAGTCATAGCTCACGGAAAACATCAAGGGGGTGGTCAGCTGGATATAGTGTATGTTCCAGAGAGGTGCAAATCTGAAGAACTGGGCAAGTGATTGCAACTGGCTGTGATCAGCTGGCCCCACATGGAGATCCAGAATGGGAAAAAGCCTTTCTGGAGTTTTCAGTGGTTGGGGGAAGCTGTATGCTGAGTAGAAAGCTTGGAAGAGTGGGCAAACTCAAACAGTATATAGTGACCAGATATGAATGCTGGTTGGAGCGGATTTGCCACAGGTTTGGTGGCTGGCAAGGCAGCTATACTGAGAAGGTCTCAGTGGCCAGGGAACTGCCATTGTGGGAAGGTCTCGAGAAGATCTTAACAGTGGCCTAAAGCACAGCTGTCTTCATTCTGCCTGCCAGGATCAGAACTACACTCTTGGGACAGGCTGAGGGACTCCCACACCTCAAAGGAACTAGAGTCAAGGGGCACTGTGAGACCTGCCCCTAAAGGATTCTTATGAGCTTTAAGATCCCAACCCAGCAGGGTCTGAATACTGAGAAAACAATAAGGTGATCACCAAAGGCAACTAAGTTTAGAATAAGGACCATAGAGGTTGCTGGCTGTGCTATCTCCTAAAAAATAACCACAGCGCTGCTTCATGTTCCAGCAACATATTGCAACATACTGTCATCAAGAACAAGGACTTCTGTTTGAAACAAAGGAGGCAGTAAGAAGTAAAAAGGAGGACAAGGAGGTGAACAAGAAGAAAGCATATATAAGGAGGAACCAACAGAAAAATTAAGGCAACATGAAAAACCAAAACAGAGGAACTCTCTCAAGGGATCATTAGGCAGCTACTGCAGAAGACTCCACCTATAAAGAATTAATGGATTTGACAGAAAGGGAACTTAAAATATGGATGATAAAGACAATAAAAGGAATGAATGAGAAAATGGAAAGATAGAACCAAAAGTCAAATGAGAGATATATAGAATATAGAAAGGATATGGCAGAGCTTAAGGAAATGAAGGAGACAATCAGGGAATGTACGGATGCAGTAGAAAGTATCAAAAACAGGTTAGACCATGGAGAAGAAAGAACCTCAGAGCCAGAGGATAAGCTTTTTGACCTAACCCAGGTAGTTAAAGGGGCAGAAAAGAAGCAAGAGAAAGCAGACCAGTCACTTAGAGAACTACGAGACTACATGAAGCATTCAAACATACAAATAATAGGGATTCTAGAAGGGGAAGAAGATTGTCCCAAAGGAATGGAAGCCCTACTGGAGACAATCATAAATGAAAACTTCCCAAGTTTTACTAACGACCCTAACACATTCCTTTCAGATGGATACTGAACCCCAAGTCATCTCAGCTCAAACAAAGCCTCTCTAAAATACATTGTAATGAACCTATACAAAGTCAAGATGAAAAAATTCTGCAAGCAGTCATGAGTAAGCACCAACTGACCTACAGAGGCACAGCCACTAGGATGACAGCAGACTTTTCAACTGAAACCTTCCAACAATAAGAACATGTTCATCTACCTTCAACATTCTTATACAAAACAATTTTTGCCCAGAATTTTGTATCCTGCTAAACTGAGCTTCAAAATTGATGGAGAAATCAAATATTTTGTGGATATACAAGCACTGAGGAAATTCACCACAATAAGACCAGCTTTACAGGAAATACTTAGACCTATTCTCAACACTGACCACCACAATAGATCACCAGCAAAATAAACATCTAGAAAGCTAAAGGCAAAAACTTAGCTTCCACAATGGCACAAAGGATAAAACTACACAACAAACTTTCACAAAATAAGATGACTAGAACTCCACCACACTTACCAATTCTCTCAGTAAATGTCAATGGATTGAATTCACCACTGAAGAGGCACAGGCTGGCTGATTGGAAAAAAAAGCACAAGCCATCCATAATGTTGTCTCTAGGAGACACACCTAGCCTTGAAAGACATCAAGACTCAGGGTTCAAGGATGAAAAACAGTATTTCAAGAAAGTGGAAATCAGGAGAAAGGAAGGATTACAATCTTATTTTCAGATACAAGCAATTTAAAGCAACTGAAATTAAGAAAGACAAAGATGGACACTTGACACTGGTCAAAGGAACAAGAAGAAGACATTTCAATTTCAAATATTTCTGCACCCAACTTAAATGCTCCCAGACTTATGAAATAGACCTTGATGGGTCTGAGCAATATGATATTCCACAACACCATAATCGTCAGAGATCTTAACACCCCTCTAACAGAACTGAACAGATCCTCTAAACAAAGATACAAAGGACTTAAATGTGACCCTAGAACAGTGGTTCTCAACCTTCCTAATGCCATGACCCTTTAATACAGTTCCTCATGGGTGGCGCCTGTGGCTCAGTGAGTAGGACACCAGCCCCATATGGTGGCAGGTTCAAACCTGACCCCGGCCAAACTGCAACAAAAAATAGGTGGGTGTTGTGGTGGGCACCTGTGGTCCCAGCTACTCAGGAGGCTGAGGCAAGAGAATCGCCTAAACCCAGGAGTTGGAGGTTGCTGTGACCTGTGATGCCACAGCATTCTACCAAGGGTGTCAAAATGAGACTCTGCCCCCCCCCCAAAAAAAACTACAGTTCCTCATCTTGTGGAAAATTATTTTCATTATTACTTCATAACTGTAATTTTGTTACTGTGTTTTCTGATGGTCTTAGGTGACCCCTGTGAAAGGGTCATTGGACCCCCAAAGGGGTGGTAACCCACAGGTTGAGAACTACTGCCCTAGGACAAATGGCATTAACAGACATATACAGAAATACCAACCCAAAGCTAAGGAACATATATTTTTCTTGTCAAACCATGGTACATACTCCAGAATCTACTACATCCTAGGATATAAATCAAACTTCAGCAAATTAAAATAATAGAAATTGTATCTTTTATCCTCTCATACCACTAGGCAATAAAGGTGGAACTCAAATCCAACAAAAACTTTCAGCCCCACAAAAAGACTTGAAAATTAAACAGTCTTATGCTGAATGATACATGGGTTCAGGAAGAGATAAAAGGAAATTGTTAAATTCCCCAAACATAACAATAACGAAGACACAAGTTACCAAAATCTGTGGGATACAGCAACAGCAGTCTTAAGAGGGAAATGTATCTCATTAGATGACTAATTTCAAAAAGCAAAAAGAAAGCACATCAACAAACTCATGAACCATCTATGAAATTGGAAAAAGAAGAACAATCTAATCCCAAACCCAGCAGAAGAAATTAAATAACTGAAATTAAATCAGAGATTAATAAAATTGAAAACAAAAGAATCATTCAGAAAATTAATAAAACAAAAAGTTGGTTTTTAAAGAATAAATAAATAAAATTGACAAACCTTTGGCCAGATTAACTAAAAACAGAAAAGTAAAATCTCTAATAATCTCAATCAGAAACAATAAAGGGGAAATAACAACAGATGCCAGAGAGATACAAGAGATCATCTCTGAATACTATAAGAAACTTTATGTCCAGAAATTTGACAATGTGGAGGAAATGGATCAACACCTGGAATCAAAAAAAAAAAAAAAAAAATTACCTGGAATCATACCCTCTCCCTAGATTTAATCAAGAAGAAATAGATCTCTTGAACAGACCAATTTCAAGAACTGAGATCAAAGGAACAATGAAAAAAATCTCCCCCTCCAAAAAAGCCCTGTTCCAGACCGCTTCATACCAGAATTCTATCAAACTTTCAAAGAAGACTTTATACTCATACTGCAGAAATTATTACAAAAAAATTGAGAAGGAAAGACTCTTCCCCAATATGTTTTACGAAGCAAACATCACCCTGATATCAAAACCAGGAAAAGACTCAACTAAAAAGGAGAATTTCCGACCAATTTAACTAATGGAATATAGATGCAAAATTCTCAACAAAATCCTAGCCACGAAATTATAGATATACATTAAAAAAAATCATTCATCACAATCAAGTAGGTTTTATCCCAGGGATGCAAGACTAGTTTAACACACACAAGTCAATAAACATAATTCACCATATCAAGAGAAACAAAAACAAAGACCATATGATCCTCTCAATAGATGCAGAAAAAACATTTGATAAAATTCAGCATCCTTTTCTAATTAGAACACTTAAGAATTTAGGGATAGGTGGCACAATTCTTAATCTGATCAGATCATCTACACCAACCCCCCAGCTAATATTATACTGAATGGAGTAAAAGTGAAAGCTTTTCCACTTAGAACTGGAATCAGACAAGGTTGCCTTCTATCACCACTACTATTCAATATAGTGCTGGAAGTTCTAGCCAATACAATCAGGCAAGAGAAGGAAATAAAGGGCATCCAAATGGGGGGGAGAGGAGGTCAAACTTTCCTTTGCTGATGATATCATCTTATACTTAGACAACCTCAAAGACTCAACCACAAGACTCCTGGAAATGATCAAAAAATACAATAATATCTCAGGATAGAAAATCAATGTCCACAAATCAGTAGCCTTTGTATCTTCCAATAACAGCCAAGATGAGAAGCTAATCAAGGACCCAAGTCCTTTCACAGTAACTACAAAAAAAAAAAAAAAAAGAAAGAAAGAAATACCTAGGAATATACATAACAAAAGAGGTAAAGGACCTCTACAAAAAAAATTATGAAACCTTAAGAAAAGAAATAGCAGAAGATATTAACAAATCAAAAAGCATGCAATACTTATGCCTGGGAAGAATCAACACTGTAAAAATGTCAATACTAGCCATAGCAATTTACAGATTCAAAGCAATTCCCATTAAAATACTATCATCATACTCTCAAGAATTGGAAAAATTAATTCTTCATTTTGCATGGAACCAGAACAAGCTCTGTATTGCCAAGGCAATTCTTAGTAATAAAAACAAAGTCAGAGGCATCATGCTACCAGATATTTGGCTATACTACAAGGCCATAGTGATCAAAACGGTATGGTAATGGCACAAAAACATAGACAGTGATAGTTGGAACCAAACAGAAAACCATGAGATGAAACTAACCTCTTTACAGCCACCTGATCATTGATAAACTGAACAAGAATATACACTGGGGAAAAGAATCCCTATTCAATAAATGGTGCTGGGATAACTGGACAACCACATGTAAAAGACTGAAACCAGACCAGTACCTTTCACTACTTAAAAAAATTGATTCAAGATGGATAAAAGATTTAAATTAAAGGCATGAAACAATAAAAATCCTCGAAGGAAGTGTGGGGAAAACACTTAAAGATATCGGCCCCGGGGAAAGATTTTATGAGGACTTCCATGGCAATTGCAACAACAACAAAAATAAGCAAATGGAACTTAGTTAAACTGAAAAGCTGCTGTACAGCTAAGGGAACAACAACTAAAGCAAACAGACAACCTTCAGAATGGGAAAAGATATTCATATTATGAATTGGACAAAAACTTGATAACTAGGATCTATAGAGAACACAAATTAACCAAAAAACAAAAACAAACAAACAAACCAACAATCCCATATATCAGCGGTTCTCAACCTGTGGGTCATGACCCACAGGAACTGTATTAAAGGTTTGCAGCATTTAGGAAGGTTGAGAACCAGTGCTATATATCATCAGGAAGAGAAATAAATAGAACCTTCTTTAAAGAAGATAGACGAATAGCTAACAAACATGAAAAAATGCTCATCATCCCTAATCATCAAAGAAATGCAAATCAAAACTACTCTCAGATTACCAACTAACCCCAGTGAGAGTGGCCCACATAACAAAGTCTTAAAGCTTCAGATGCTGCAGGGGATGTGGAGAGATGGGAACACTCTTACACTTCTGGTGGGATTGCAAACTAATACAAGCTTTTTGGAAGGAAGTATGGAAAATCCTCAAAGAACTCAAATTAGACCTCCCATTTGATCCTGCAATCCCATTACTAGGTATCTACCCAGAAGAAAACAATTCCTTTAATCATAAGAACATTTGCACCAGACTGTTTATCACAGCTTAATTTACAATCCCCCAAATGTGGGAAAAGCCTAAATGCCCACCAACTCTGGAATGGATTAACAAGCTATGGTATATGTACACCATTGAATACTATTCAGCCACTAAAAAAGACGGAGACTTTACATCTTTTGTATTAACCTGGGTGGAGGTGGAACACATTCTTCTCAGTAAAGCATCACAAGAATGGAGAAGCAAGAATCCAATGTTCTCAATTCTAATATGAAGGCAGTAGATGAGCTCATACAAGGTGTGGGTAGGGGAATGAGCAAGTGGGTCATGGTGTATGGAACACCACTTGGGGGCAGGATACAATTATAAGAGGGATTTTATCTAACAGATGCAACCAGTATAACCTAATTCTTTGTGCCCTCAATGAATCCCAAACAATAAAAAAAAAAAATAAAAAACATATTAAAAAAAAATAAAATAATTTTTAGCCTATATTATATTAAAAGCACACTGATTAAACTAGATGGATTCTCATAATGAATGAATGAACAGAAGTTTCATGAATTATAAGACTAAATATAAAACCTCTTGAACTAAGAATAGCAATGATTTTATACCTTGAGAAAGCAACAAAAGACTTAAGGTAATCAATATAAAAATATTAAAAAGATTATAAAGGGGGAAATTTTGGAAAACGTCAAATGCTAAAAATAATCACATTTTATTATTTATATAAAGGAAGAAAAGGAAACAACGTAATGGCCCATAGAGAAAATTATTACAGTTAAGTAAATATGTTATTTATTTGTCTGTTTGTTTGTTTATTTTGAGACAGAGTCTCACTTTGTCACCCTGGGTAGAGTGCCACAGCATCATAGCTCACAGCAATCTCCAACTCTTGGGCTCAAGTCATACTCTTGCCTCAGCCTCCCAGGTATCTGGAACTACAGGTGCCCAGCACAATGCCCAGTTAGTTTTTCTATTTTATTAGAGACAAGGTCTCACCCTTGCTCAAGCTGGTCTGGAACACCTGACCTCAGGCAATCCACATGCCTCAGCCTCCCAGAGTGCTAAGATTATCAGCATGAGCCACCACACCTGGCAAAGTAAATATTTTAGTCATACCCTAAACATTTCCTTATAAGCCATGCAAACTGATGTAAAATGTTAATATTAATATTCAATCTTAAAACAGAGAACACAAATGCTTTGAATAATATGTAGAAATATGAAAATTTTAAAAGTCAATAAATTAAAATAATTACATTAGAATGGTAAGGTTATAATGATGTACTTCAATTCTCTAGTTTCCAAATCTTCTATACAGTGACAGTGTTAATTTTCAAAGGGAGACCTTAGAGTCAATTTAGTTTATACATAAAGTACAAATGGCTTTTTAGTAACACAGGATAACCAAAGCATTAATTATGTTTATAGAAGGCACCAAAGTAGATCATTATGTAATTTACTTGGTTTATGCTTGGCTTTCAACTTTCCCACTATCAACTTTCTTGGCTTCTTTCTGGTGATTGAGTGACAAAAGAAAATAAAATTTAATCTCAATGGGTTCATTTAAGAATGATTTTTGTAGGCCAGGTGGACTCATGCCTGTAATCCTAGCACTCTGGGAGGCAGAAGTGGGTAGATTGCTTGAGATCATGAGTTCGAGACCAGCCTGAGCAAAAAGTGAGACCCCCATCTCTACTAAAAGCAGAAAAAGTGAAGCAGCAAGAGGATCACTTGAGCCCGAGAGCTTGAGGCTGATGTGAGCTATAATGCCACGGCACTCTACCCCAGGTGACAGCTTGAGACTCTGTCCCCCCCCCCAAAAGAATGATTTTTGTAAAACTCTACCATGTTTGAATCATTCAGTTAATTACTTCTTTTAAAAAGATAATAAAACTTTACGAAAAGATTAAAAAGAATATAGTCTTAAATCTGAGAGGTATTAAGTCTGCTGGGCAAGTCTCATAACAGACATAATTACGCATGTACTCTTCAGGGTAGTAACAATATTATGTCATCATATGAAGACAAAATATATCCTAATTTCTTTTTACTAATTCGGATTTGCTATCAAAGTGACAGTTATCAAACTCTAATTACAACAATATTAAACTCCAAAAATCAGTATCTCTTAGAAAAATTCATCATATGAAAACTCAACTACTTTCTATACCAAGATATAAATTATTTGGCAAAAATTGTAATTTATTTTTAAAACATTATTTACATTTAAGAGTGTAACTTACAAAAATGACTAAATACTCACTAATAAGGAAATAAATTAGATAACATTTTTGGCCATGTTTCTATTCTTATTAAACGGGATAATTAAATATTCCCAATTAGAGTTCCAAGTATGCACTTACTACACCCTAAAAAGGCAAAAACAGCACTAAAGAGCTCAAGGCAGACGCCTATATGATCTGGTTGTGTTAATTAAACATCTTTATATCACTATCACCAGTAATAGCTTACCTGGAATTTTAAAGACAAAGTGATCAGCTACTACTCGGCAAGTTCTGCCTTTGTGGATAAAAATTTTAGCCATGAAGTAGTAAAAATCAATGGGAATAGCTCCATGATAAAAAATTATAAGTGCTGGTCCTTCTTCCGGTATTTTTTCCATTCCATGAACTTCATAGCCTGTTGGAAAAACAAAATGCAGACATGTTAAATATGTTTATTAGTTTATAGTAAAAGAGGGCCAGTAACTCAGAAGCTCAGTCTTTTCTTACAAAAATATACAGTCTTACTGGTTCCCTTTCCCTTTCTTCCCTCTTCCCCCTTCTCTTTCTTGAACAAATCAGTCCTACGTTCATTAAGGTGAGCCAGAGCACAACAGGCAGCTGTGTGAGGTGGGTCCCGGTTAGGGTAGTACAGTCTGAGCAGGTGGGGAGAGCACCGTGCAGGGTAGGGCCTGGCCCAAGACTCCCACCTACACAAGGCAAAGTTTGCCTGCCACAAAGAGGAAAAGTAATGCTGAAAAGCCTCACCCCTGGGCCAGGAACACAGAGTCTGCTAAGACCTTAGCTAAACCAGGAACACTGCAAAGTGCTCCCTGGGTCCCTGGTCCCCACTGCATCTTCCTGTGCAATTCTAAGTAAAGATGACTTAGAACTTTCCTGGGGTTGGGGTTGGGGTAGGGGTAGGGATAGGGGCATGAAAAGACATCCCTCCTCTGGCAAAGGCATGCAGGACTGAGGGTGGAGCAGAAACACCAAGAAAAACCCGCTCTGGGACTCCAGGCCCCATACTGTGCTCAAGCTAACAGGAGGAGCTTGAAGTCTGTTCTGAACTAAAGGTAACTATGGCAACAATAAAACCCAAACCCACTTCAACTACTCAATACATTGAATCAACCCCCAGCTGACCGCTAATGCCCTGACAGAGAGGAATACCAATTTTCAGTTATAAATATTATTTACCTTAATCACTACTTTTTTTTTTAACAAGCAATGCCGAGAATTCAATAAAAAATTATGAGACAGGGCAGTGCCTGTGGCTCAACAGAGTAGGGCACTGGCCCCATATGACGGAGGTGGCGGGTTCAAACCCAGCCCCAGCCAAAAACGGCAAAAAAAAAAAAAAAAAAAATTATGAGACATACAAAACAGCAAACAAACAAAAAAAAATCCTACTGTCAAGAGATAATGCAATCAAGCATCACATCACAAGCATGGAAAAACAAGCATCACATGTACTCAGTACTGAATTAAAACAAGTAGATTAACAACTATGAGCTCGTGTGAGAGAGAAAGTCAATTAAATCCAAGTAAGGAGGAGGGGATGAGGGAGTTGGGTAAATTCCCACCACAGGGGTACACTGCGGGGTATACTGTCCACCTCCTGGGTGAAGAGCACAACTACAACCCAAACTTCAACCACACAAAAGCAAACTATGAAACCTAATCATACAGACCCCCGTATTAATCTGAAATGGAAATAAAAATCCATTCTCAAGAGATAAAGCAATCACCAGAACCAGGCACATTTGGTAAACTATCAGATGTGAAACCACAAAATAACTATGCTGAATAAGTTAAAGGATCTAGTGGGAAAGGTGCCCATGTGCAAGATTAGATTAGGAATTTCAACAGATAGATAGAAATAATCTAAAAAAAAAAAAAAAAGAGCCAAACAGGGCAGCGCCTGTGGCTCAGTGGGTAGGGCGCCAGCTCCATATACCGAGGGTGGCAGGTTCAAACCTGACCCCGGCCAAACTGCAACCAAAAAATAGCCAGGCTTTGTGGCGGGCACCTGTAGTCCCAGCTACTCGGGAGGCTGAGGCCAAGATAGTCGCCTAAGTCCAAGAGCCACAGCACTCTACTGAGGACAATAAAGTGAGACTGTCTCTAAAAAAAAAAAAAAAGAGGCAAACAGAACGTCAGGGGCAACACTTGTGGCTCAAAGGAGTAGGGTGCTGACCCTATATGCTGGAGGTGGTGGATTCAAGCCCAGCTCTGGCCAAAAACTGCAAAAAAAAAAAAAAAGATTTGATGTTAGTAATTTATCAATGTTAATTTCCTGATTTTAATGGATTTGCGAAGGTTAAGCATGAGAACATCCTTAAAAGTGTTAGAGACAGGGTAATATAGACATTTACAGCCAAATGATTTGAGAAAATAACATCTTTATACAATAGTTGGAAAATTAGTTTTTAAAAAGTTTATGAACAAAAACAATAATCATATTGCCTTCTGTGGAAAAAATCACATGAGATCAAAGAATCAGATAACATTTAAGTTAAAAAAAAAAAAAAAGACATAACTTAACAGACAATATTAGCATTTAAGACTATTATGGGGCTAGGTGCAGTGGTTCACATCGGTAATCCCAGCATTTTGGAAGGCCAAGGCAGGAAGATCACTTGAAGCCAGCCTGGATAACAAAGGAAGACTCATCTCTACAAAAAAATTTAAAAATTAGTTGTATATGGTGGTATAGGCTGTAGTCCTAGCTACTGTGTTTCCCCAAAAATAAGACCTACCCAAAAAATAAGCCACAGCAGAATTTCTATGTATTTGTTAAATATAAGCCCTCCCCGATAATAAGACCTAGTGATGGGTGTGGCCATGCATTTCGGCACAGAGAGGAAGACATTCCCTAAAATATAAGCCCTCCCCGATAATAAGCCCTAGTGTGTCTTCTTAAGAAAAAATAAATATAAGACAGTGTCTTATTTTCAGGGAAACACGGTACTTGGGAGACAGGCAGGAGGATCCCTTGAGCCCAGCAATTCAAGGATATAGTGAGCTAGGATCATGCCACTGCTGTCCATAGTAGGCGACCTGTCTCTTTAAAAAAACAAATTATTTCTTATTGTTAATCAAAGTTATCTAAAGAATCATACAGGGCTGAGCCATTAAACACACTTCTGAAACTGCTAGCTTCTTAGAACAATCTGGACCCTTTGTTGTAAGCTTGATGTTGGGTAAGTTCCACAGGAATCCCAGATTCTACTAGTTATAAGAGATTGTGAAAGGAGCAGGGAAATGAACAGAGAAAGGAAAGTAGCAAGAGTCATCAGTTTCCCCCGAGATAAAATGGCCTAGGATAAGTTTAAAAGTGAGTCATAAAATAATTCACTAATAAAAACAGAAAAACTTCACTAGTAACTGAATGCAAAATAAAATATACTTAAACTATTCAATATACACGGACAATGTAATAATGTTGCAAACCTTTATTTCATTCACAAACCTAAGACTCATTTGTATGTATTTAAGTTATTCATTAGAAATTCCCTCATTCTAGTCATTAAAAAACAAAAAATATTTTGTAGAATCTTATTACACGTGGGAAAATGGTGATCAGAGATTTAAAACGAATGTCAAGAAAACCTCTCTCGTACTAGAAGTGAGATTAGAGACTCGTGCCATCCCTTCCCCTCACGTACTACCATACCCTATTCCAAGTCTCTATAAGCAGGAGCAGGGCTTTCAGCAAGGGAAGCAAATGACAGGATAAAAGGCCTGGTGGACGTGGGGAGGCAGTGACCTCTGGAGGCCTCCAGACTGTTCCTTTCTTCTCGTCCTCCAACTAAGACTATCTTAACCACTGCCCTTTACACGGCTATCGATGTCAAAGTGTTTCTCACAGTAACCCTGGTGCTGTTAGAAGATGGTGGGAACTAAGATTTAATGTAAGTATGACCCATCTGTGCCTCAGAAGAAAATATTCGGGGTATTTGTTAGATCACAGGAGTTGGGAATTCAGAGGCTAACTCTGAGTAGACAAAATGGTGAGCATGGCACTAGTCCTTCCCACTTCCCACTGGCAGGCACACCAGCACAGACCATGGCCTCTGCTGGTCTCAGCCAAAAGAAAAAAACAAGCACCCACACACCAAGGGCAGAATCAAGCTCGAAGAAAAAAGACAGGGCAGAAAGAAAGAAAATCTTGAGTGGTTGTGGTGGAAAAGGAAAGGAAGTTCCTAGGGTCATATTCACCTGCCACTCACATGGAAGACAAAAGTCTAGAATCAGATCTAAAACCATTCGTCTGTTTCTTTCTTTATTTTCCCCTATATTTGAGAGATAAACACTCAAATAATAAAGGCTTCAGCCTAAGTTTTAGAGCATGCGGGCTGGATGTAGCATTTTTAGGAGACCAAGGTAGGAGGATCACTTGAGCCCAGGAGTTCAAGATTAGCCTAAGTAATAGTGAGACTCTGTCTCTACAAAAAAATAAAAGAAAAGAAAATAATTAACTGGGCCTGGTGGAGTACACCTATAGTCCCAACCACACAGGAGGCTGAGGAAGGAGGACTGCTTGAGCTCTGACAGTTTGAGGCCACAGTGAGCTATGACAACACCACTTTGCTCTAGCCCAGGCAAGAGAGTGAGGACTCATTTTTTAAAAAATAAATAAATAAATGATAAGCAAGTAAATAAATTCATTAGCCAGGTGGCTCACACCTATAATCCTAGCACTCTGAAGTGAGTAGATTGCTTGAGTTCAGGAGTTCCCGTCAAGCCTGAGCAAAAGAGAGACTCTGTCTCTACTAAAAATAGAAAAATTTGCCAGGCATGGTGGCACATGACTGTAGCCCCAGCTACTCTGGAGGCTGAGGCAAGAAGATTGCTTGAGCCTAGGAGTTTTAAGTTGTTGTGAGCTATGAAGCCACAGCACTTTACCCAGGGTGACAGAATAAATAAATACTAAAATAAATTCATTCATTCATTCATTTTAGAGCAGGAAATTCATTTTAAAGTAGTTTAAAAATTTAAGTATGGTAACTGTGATTCTAGTAGTGAAGGAATGAACTACTTGGTAGTTTCTCAAATGGTCTCAAGAGAATGTTTTGAAAACTTAACCATATTTCAAGATTTTATATCCACACTGTAACAGTTTTTCCAATTGTCTAATTCTAGTCAAGTAATTAAGTTTACTTTTACCTCTTCAGAACAATCACTGAGGTTGCCTGAGGTTACAAAAGGATAAATTGTCCCATGAGATAAATTTTCTGAGAAATAATTAGAATTTCTCAGAATGACAGAATAGCCCTTTGAGGGATTCTATCCAGAATATTAATGAAGTTGTCTCTGTCTTTATTATAGAGTATTTTTTAAAAATTAATAATTAGGCTCGGTGCTTGTGGCTCAAGTGGCTATGGTACCAGCCACATACACCCAAGGTGACAG